CATTAGCACCTCTAGTAATATATTTACTGAGAAAAATGGTGACGTGTTCAATACTTATTTTACCGGCTGTATTACTGAAGACAATTGGTGACCGTAGATCCAGTAAAGGTTTGTCCTCAGTAGTTTTCCATCAGCGTGAACATCAAGTGACAGATTACCACTGAACTAAACGCACACCTGAGGTTGGGCAATATTGGCATAAAAAATGATCACGGTTAATTGTGGCATTTCACCGATAACGGTAAATAAAGCAGGTGTTTCAGGTGATTAAACATTTAGGGTTAGCTGCTGCACACTGCCCAACAGGGCTCACATGTGTGCCTGATAGTGATGGTGTGTCGAGCACAACAAYACGTTCTCACGCGACACTAATCGCAGTGATTGCGAAGTGGCAAATATTAWTTGTTGACAGTTTTTATGACACGATACGATTAGTTTTCGTAACTCTTCTCGTGCATGAAGGAGGTGAACAGACGATGTTTTTCGCCCCTGAARTTCCTTAAAAACCTTAAAAKACATTTTTATATTTTCTGTAAGGGTGTCAAGCTAAAGCTAAAAACCGGAGGAAGTCGTCTGATACCCTARTTTTCAAAATAAAAGCCCCCCGGTAGCGTCTGGAAACAATTAAAAGCAGAAACAGCCCACCGGAGGAACAAAGACAGTTAAGGAATGCTGCTTCAGCTTTTCACCTTCACTCTGTTCCTCCTTCACCTTTAAAGAAGAGGAAGTTAGAGCCATCATCATCATCATCGCCACTCATACACTCTACGTCGCCATAAAATGTGTCCAAGTGCTTGAAGCTAACTCAGGATAAATAACTACAAGTGCTCAAGTGAAGAACATCAGAGTGTGGCTTTAGAATGACTCTCAGCTACTACCACATCCACTATCAGCTCTGACTGCGTTGAAGACTTTTTTATGTTGGCAAAAACATTTCCACCGTTGCCTTTTAACAGCTGATAATAAAACAGGAAATCTCATTCTTTTAAGAAAACAGATTAAACTGATCGAATTAATAATCGTTAATAAATCAGCTCATGTTTTACACTTCAGCATCAGTGAGGAGAGCCGAGTGTCAAATAAAAAAATATTATATTTTTTAGACACGTCAGATCAATCAAATGAGCTGCGCAGAGAGGAGAAAAGAATCGATTTATAAACTCCACAGGGGGAGGCTTGGACAAAACGACAGGATGTTTGTGTGTCTTTTAGAGATTTTCTCCAAACAAACTTGCGTTCCTGCGCTCGGATTCGYGGCGCAAACGCAGCTCAGATCCTCCTTCACCGTCTCGCCTTGTTATTCCTCACAGTGCGTGAGTGCGATTGCCACGGCGAAGCATTTCATATCCTGCTCCGAGATTAAAAAACATATAAAAACAGAAATAAAGGAGCAGAATATGATAATAAAAAGGAAGAGAAAGCTTTCAGCAGTGCCTGTATCAAACAGCTAAACAATACATTCAGTTTTCTACAGCAGTAGGAGCTTTAGTTATTGCCGCTTTGTCAGACAGGAAGTCTCTAACAACACAAACCTCACCGTCTACACTGACTGTGCAATAATATCTGATAAAAACCTACAATAAACGTCATATTCCTCCAAGAAAAGAAAGGGAAAAAACAAACCTGCTCCGCAAAGATCACAACAAAATGTCCATGAAAATATCTAAATGAGACAAAACAGCAGAGAAAGAGAACTGAGCCGTATTATTTGGCGTAAAAAAAAGAAGAAGCAAAAAAAATTTAACTGAAGTCTCGTATATCGACTTAGGAATAATAGATTACTTGAATTGCCTTGGAATATACAAATATATAACAATACATTATTATAGATTGACAAAAAAAAGAATCTGACATTTAATATTTTCTCTACTCTTGTAGTACAGCACAATCAAAAACAGAGCATGGAAACGCTCATTGTTTTATTTATTATTGTCCGATACGCATGGCTTCATATAGTCTATGTTACACTGCAGTATTTACACAGCTTTTTCTTTTTCTTAAAAAAAAGTCGGTTCGTTAAGGGAAGCTATTGTAAGTCACCATAATCAAGGGCTTTATTCGGTTTAGATCCCCCCGTTTTTTTTTTCCTGATGTGCTCCCAAACGTTGGGAGAGAAATGGCTGACACTTCCTACAGATACAACACACACACACACGCGCACATATAAAGAGACGCGCTCTAATTCTCAGCAGGAAGATTCAAAGAGGAACCTGGGTAATAAAAGGCAGTGAAGCAGTTTGACGATCAAAGCGAGTGTGTGTGTGACATCAGACAGGATTCTGGGAAGGAAAAAAAAAACAAAAAACAAAAAAAAAGGTGAAAAGGACCAGCTGCCTGCAAATATAAAAGCAGCTTGTACATACAGATATATTATACTTTAGTATACAATATATTAGAAAAAAATGTACATTAAGTACAGACTGAGAAACAAAGTGAAATAGTTAAGGCTTGAACAGGACAAAAGCGACACCGTGTTTGTGTGTGTAAGAAAGATCAAAGAGCACTATGGCTTGGTTTCACTTCAGCCACTTGCAGCCCTGACCTTCTGCAGGGAAGCAAACATGGCCGCCGCAGAAAGGCCACAAGGGGGAACCATTGACATCCGGCTGTTTGCACCCCGCCCACTATCTAAGCTGCAGGGCTGGTTCTGTTTGGTTCTACAGCCTCTTCCTTTTGAAGTAGTCAGCGTACTGACCCCCCAGGCCCTGGGAGTGCTGCCCGATGTAGGCCCCCTCCGATGACGGCGCCTCGGGCACCGCGAGCTGAGGGTACTCCCTCTTAAGGCCCCTCGTCTGGTTCTGATGAGACAGAGATGGAGAGGAGAGAGTTTACGTCCAGCTTTTACCAGCTAGAAGAAGAAAACAAACTTAAAATCTTGAAAGAATCAATAAACGTCGAGTTGTAAAGTAAATAAGTACAAATACTTTGTTACTGTTCTTAAATAGAAATTTTGGTTGTCTTGACTTTACTTGAGTAATTATTTTTCAGCCTACTTTTTACTTCTCCTTACACTTTCACATAATTATCTGTACTTTCTACTACATTTTTAAAAGAAGGCAAGAAGTATAAAGTTGTTATTTTTATTTTATTTTTGCTTGTTTTCATTCAGATTGTTGTAAAACAAAATACTATCCGTATAAAGTGYGCCTCCTAGAGAGAGTGAATTTCACTGAATTTATTTGTGATTGGATGAGAAGTGTGTACATATACGACAGTCATTTCAGCCTTTAGAAAAAAAATATTTTTTTGGGGGGGGGCATGGGGGCGGGGTCACCTCCCAATAAACATCGTTATGTAAAATCTAACCACTCATTTTACTCAATACTTCTACTTTTTTAGTTTTGCTTAAGTACATTTTTGTCAGAAATTTACTTTTGATGCTTAAGTACAAAAAAATCAGATCCTTTAAGACTTTTACTTAAGTAATATTCTTAGAGGAGACTAACTTTTATTAAAGTAATTTTATGGTAAGATACTTGTACTTTTACTCAAGTATCACTTTGCGGTACGTTATACCAGAGGTTCTCAAACTGGGATCCCAGGATCCTCAGGGGTCCACGAGAGGTTTCTTAGGGGTCCTCAGAAAACTTCACTAAATTTGATTTTTGTTTTTAAAAATATACGGAGAACAATGAACTAATAAAACAAACATAATAAACTTAATAAAAATAGATATTCCCATGACATTTAGGGGTTGAAAATAAATTATCTTTTAAAACAGCATGAGGTTTATGAGGGGGTCCCTGGAATTTTTTTCGCCCTTGTAAGGGGTCCCCAGATGAGAACCCCTGATTTATACAACCCAGAACAAACGAATCGAGCCTTGAGCTTGATAAAAGTCATGGTTTGCACAGACAAAATGCAGATGAAGCTCAGCAGAGACGAGCTTCCTGTCTAAAGCTACTCATCTGCTTTTGAGGAGTTATTTTACAGCCTAATACTAATTTAAAAACAAATAAATAAACGAACTTAAAGAGAAAGTTGCAGTAAGGTTTACTGCAGAAGAAAATAATCTGAGCATGTTCGATACAAAAATTGGACGCTGTGTAAATTTAGTTCTTAAGATCTTAAGATGAAAGCGTTTGGAAGCTGCACTCACGTAGTAGTACGTGTTCCAGTCGGTGGCTGCGGTGTGGGTGTGCGTGACGGGGCTCGGCGTGGCTGCCGGCGGGTGAGGCGTCCCCAGGAAGCCGGGCATTAGAGGCAGGGTGCTGTAGGCTGGGAGCACGGCGGCGGCTGGTAAAACCGCCGGAGGAGGAGCTGGACTGTTGCTGACGGCGTGCAGAGGGACTCCCAGAGGCTTACAAACATCTACTTCCTGTGAGAAACACACACACACACACACACACACACACACACACACACACA